GTGTAAATGTGCCACATCGTCTTTATCCATTCTTCAGTTGAGGGAATCTAGGTTGCTTCCAGATTTTTGCAATTACAAATAAAGCTGCTATGAACATAGTGGAACAGATGTCTTTGTTGCATGGATGTGTATCATTTGTATATATGCCTAAGAGTTGGATTGTCGGATCCTGGTGGTAGACTGATTCCTATTTTCCTGAGGAACTGCCTGTTTTTAGAGTTCTCCATTCATTTCTGTACCACATTTTTAATAGGGTTATTTGTTGTTTTGTTGACTAGTTTCTTGAGTTCTTTGTATATTTTGGAGATCAGCCCTGTGTCAGATGTCTTTGTATCTTTTCTGCACCTATACATGCAGGATCAGTACAAATGTATCACCACGGCTCTGACCAGTACAAACCAGCTAACATGTACCTTGGAGTTCTTTCCTTTGGCATCTCCAGACATAGCTCCCTTCATGCAGTATCCGTTACTACACTTCGTATTAGGTATGCAATTTAAGGTAAGCTATGTGAGTTGGAATTCTCATTGAGAAACTAGACTCTGTGTTTTTTATTGTACCTCAGTGAGTATCACCTCCCAAATGGTTGAATTGAATAGGGGATATAGCAGTAACCCCTTGATGCTAGACTGTGAGGAATGAGTTTTCCGAGGGAATGTGTTTAGTTAAGTGCTTGTTCCAAAGTGATCTGTGATCCACTCCAGTAAGTCAGTCAGGCCCCCATAAAGACACCAAGTGACCTGAAAAACAAGTATCACATGAGGATAAACTGAGTAGTGACAATATATGATTGAGGTTGGCCTCATTTGTTTGAAGGTCACCTTGTACCCTAGGAAAATAAGCTCCTTTTCAAGAAGAGGCATTTTTCTTGTTGATCAGAATGCCATCTTCATTATTCACAAAGACTTTATTCTAAAAGCCTCAAGTCATGGATAAACAACTATATCCTCAACACTTCTTCCTGTAAATTTTGCAGTCAGATCTTATATATGCAGTTACCTCAGGCTTCAGGACCCCATGAACACTATATAGTGAGGTCTATATAGACCTCACCCTCAAATTGATAGGTGCTACTTTCTCTGTCCAAATGGGAATCATATAGATGTAAGACAAAATGGTAGACCCTAGGCTCTAAAGCTAAAGATATTGCAGTCAGCTTTGCAAAGTAATTACTGTCTGTGACAAGAACAGCAATTTAATCACTCTCAGGCCCACTTGATTCAGCTTTTATACCTATAAAGCTTCTAGTTTTGTTTCTCAAAGAGAAGTACTTAATAGAGAATAGTAAATTCCCCTAGCTTTATAGAAAATCATCTTTCTGTCCACCTCCTTACCTCTCCATGCTAATGTTGAGTTATCCATTCAAAATTATCTGGGTCAGAACCAAGTTCTGCCCTTTTCTTTGGCCTCTTTCTCACAACCCAGTATAACAATGTCACCATACTGACATAACCACCTTGGACCACTTCCACCTTATTTTCTGACTCCCTAGAATATCCAGAAGATTTGACCTCCTGGACATGCTATAATTGAAATCTTCTAACTTTCCACATAGCTGGTTAAAACTCACATCATTACTCACTAAGTTGACTTCAATGTTTTTCTTGTTTCATTCTATCAACCTAAGCACATGAAGGATGATCCACTACAAACAGGAAACAGATTAGTCATACCTCTGCAGTCTACTCACAGAGCCCCAAACTACTGAAAGCAAAGGAAACATTATATTGTCCTATCACCGTACCATGACATGAATTTGCAAAGCCTCTAGTTCTCTCGTGGGCTCATTCAAATCCATTCTGAGGTCTGTCCTGTTCCTATCTACTCATAGCAGGTGGTACCTGATGTTCCTGATGCTCAGAAGGGCAGAAGCCTAGTCTTCTCTAGACACACCTACTTGCTCACTAGTTCTGCCTAGTTCTTCAACTTTTTGTTATGCACCAGCATTTCTGTGTAAACCCTTATTACCCACTTGTCTGCATGTTTATTATCCATTCACATGGGAATCTCTTCTACCTTTCTGTCATTTTCTCTACTGTTCTAATCACCATCTAAAACATTACATGTTTGACTTATTAAATTATTACATGACTCTGCACCTACATATAAATTCCCTCCTTGTATTCGCACAACGTTTGTAGCTGTCAAAAAGCTATTTGGTAATTAGAATATTTTTGAATGGGATGTTCAATGTTTTATCCATCATCTGTTTGCTACTTAGTTTTACATTGCAAGTGTTTTACATATATAAATTTAAAGAAGGAAAGATTTACTTTGTTTCATTTTCAAAAGTTTCTGTTTGTAGTCACTTAATGCCCTTTCTATGAGTTTACAATGAGACAGAAAATCATGGCATAGAGGAAAGAGCAAGGTAGAACTTACTTCCTGGTGGCCAAGTAGAGAGAGCCAAGTAGGTCCTGGGGTAGCGTGAATATTTCCAAACCATGTTCCCAGTAACTGAATTCCCCAGCAAAACCTCACCTTCTCCAATTTCCAGCATCTCCACAAAAAGTATTATCAGCTGGGGTGGATTTCAAGTCCCAAGCCTGTGGGAGACTATGTACACATATGCAAATGTAGTGTCTGATTCTGTTGCTAAGCATTAATGCTTTTTAAAACCCTCCAGCAAAGGCCTTGGTGAGGTGCAGCCTGCTGTATCTACAGGGTTAAGGTCTTCTGCTTAGGAGAATCAGAACTATACTTACTGCTCTGTTGTTGTAGGAATCATGTTCCAGTGTATTTTCTGAGATTCACTTCTCTGAAGGAAATTCCAAACTCCCGATGTGGGGATGGGATATGTTCTTGGCAGGGTAATATGGGAATTACCACGGCATAGGTTTGTCAGTGAAATGAGTAAAAGGAGGGGGTGAAGGTAAGACTGAAGATCATGTCTGAGGCAGTATCCAGGGAATACTCCACTGTCCTCTTTATTCACTTAATTCAGTAGAAGCATAACCCACGGATGGCATCTGGCAAGAGGCAAGAGGAATCTCTTCAACTTCCTCATGGAAAACTGATGACTGGCTTTCTAAATAGACAGAGAAAATGACATGGAAACCATAAGTTTTCTCTTCCAAAAGAGAAGATGTAGGCTACGAGGCACATAAACATTCCTTCAAGACTCTTTACTTGACTTCTCTTCTTCCCACCACAACAGATGACAACTCTCATTGTCTCTTTAATACTCACTGTTTAATTTCCTCAGCCTGGCACCCAGTAGGGATGCAGTAATGATTGCAGAATAAATGTACAATTAAACACTGAACATGAGCATAAAAGCAGAGATGAAATCAAACTTACTTAAAGACAAACTGTCCCCAGATCAGTTCAAAGTGGCTTTGAAAGGAGGAGAAAACAAAAGTTACAGTATAATTTGAGAAGAGCAGCAGACAGGAGCCAAGGAACATACCTGTTCAGAGTTTTGAGCAAAAACCTGTACCCATGAAAGTTTATTCAAGAAGTACAAAGATGGATTCTGGCAAGCTAAGAAATAAAAGAAGGAGAGACACACATGTTTTCTGTTTTCTTAGTTCTGTCAAATGATCTCTTTCTTAGTGTCATTAGTGACTCATATAAATATGATTTCATCTTGATAAAGGAGCATCCCAGAGATTACTATTTGATCCTCATGCTTTCTAAGTATTTTGTTCAATTTAGAGAACTATCAAGCCCCCAGAATGACCAAGGAATGAATAGGGTAGAGAAGGAATTTACTCTCTATCATGAGAGGAAAGAGAAAGCAATAGGTATAACCCAAGATTAATGAATATACTGTGGTCTAAGCTCCTGGAATGCTATTTCTCCCTCCAAACAACAAAGAGTAGAGGCAGAGAGATTTTCAACAGGAAAAACCAAGTATTACTCAAATAAGAATAGAACTAAAAATTATATTAAAAGTAGGAGGCTTACTACCAAATTTCTCTACCAATGAATTTGGACAGCGTGTGGAAGAAATTGAAAAAAGAGAGATCAAGAAGACCTCTTTGAAAGTGATATTAAAATAGTCTACAGTCTGTGTTAATATGATATTTCTCTCATGTATACACCCTCAAATGCACATATCAGGCTCATTACTTGACCTGAGACAGTTTATATATTGTGAAGTAATGACTGCTGGCTCAAATAACATTTAAGAAGAGGGTCTTGTGTAATGGCTCAATGGGTAAGAGCATTTGATCCATAACAAAGATGATTAATAATCCTCAGCACCAACCTAAAAAGCCAGGCATAAATGCATATACTTCAGCATTGAGAAGCAGAGAGACAGATACAGTGAGCTCTGGCCACATATCCTAAAAAAAAGGCAGTCTTCATATTCAAAAATGATCCCCCTTTTCAAGACAATAAAGTAGAATATTGTAGAAATCAATTGATGTCCTGTTGTGAACTCCATGTGTGTATGAACAGATGTGTCTATCTGTACACTCATGTTCATGTACCTCACACATTTACGAATATAATAAAAATCTAACCAGACTAGAAGAGAAAGCAAAACTCCAGCTTTACATACATGCTTAAAATATTAATGCATAGTACTACTGACAGCAAAACCAAGAAAATGTTTCAAACTTTCCAAAACCCATAGTCTTTTTTACTACATCCCAGATGTTCTCAGCAATAAAGGCATCATTTGTTAAAAAAAGAAGAACACAAGGAGGAAGAGGAGGAAGAGGAGGAGTTGAAGAACGAAGAGGAAGCAGCAGCTGCTTGGTATGTGCACATCTATATTATATATATATATATATATATATATATATATATATATATATATAATTTGGGAACTGGAATGGAAGGGATCAAGTTGGAATGAAAAAAAGTGACAAGGGAGAGATACAAAAGGATATAGTAAAATCAAAGACCATTTGAAGGGCAGTATAGACGCACAAAACAGAAGAAACATCGTAAAGTACAAGAAGCCAAAGAATGCCTATATATTCTCAACAAATAAAGCCTCCATTACCATGTACGTGTTACATCTAACTGTGCTGTTTGCCCCACAGGAAGCTATAGCCCAGGTAGGTTCAAAGGTTGGAATTGAAGGAGGTTCATATGGAAAGAGCAGAAGGTTGCAAAGTATGTATAACCTACTAAAGAGAATGGGAAATACCTTAGAGTGGAAAAAGAAAGGAGTTTTTAATACCAGATTGATCCAATCTCAGATGTGTTTTAGGAATGCATGATATATGGAGGTTGGAGTAGGAGAAGGCAACTTCAGAGCAATAGAAGGATCATAAGGTTTTATTATCCGGGGTAATATACCAAAAATTCAAGTTCCGGTGCTCATTCTAGATTCATTAGGTCGGGAGCAGGGTTCAAGAGTCTGGAGTTTTCTGTCAGCATTTGCAGGTCATTCTAAACTCCACAGATTATAACTGAAGTAACATTAAAAACAAATGACATCCCAACATCAACACTTCTCTATGTCTCCTTGGCTAGTTTTCTCATGTAGCTCCCAATTAGCTCATTGCCAAGAAACATTCATAGACATCTCTGAGCAACAGTGATCACTGACAGCTGACAGTTTCCTGAGAGTACAAGGATAGAAGATCTTTCTCGATATAAGTAAAGACCTGACTATTTTGAGAGAGCCAAACTTGGGAGTTGCTTCCACATCTCTTGTAACATTTGAAACTTAGAAATTCTGTTTCCATGTATATAGCCAAAGTTATAGTGATGTATTTAAAAACCAACATCAGCTGCAGTGCTGAATTCTAGGACTCCCCATCTCCCAACATCAGCATCTCTGAAAGAAACTTTGCAGAAACTGAAAGCTGGTCTGTATAGGTAGTAACACATCAGGGGGAAACTTATTTAGTGTGTGATCATAACCTATCTAACATATTTTCCTTATTCCACTTAAAAAGCCACAGAAACCTACTTACAAATCACCTCTGTGAATACAAGTTACTGTGGAAGGACAGAAGCTCAGTGAGGCAGAGGAACATGATCCCAGCCAGATCTACCTACAGGAGAAGAACCCCATCCCATCTTTCCTTTCATCATATCACATCTCAGAAGCAGCTTCTGTTTAGATCCATGGAACTTAAGGAGACTGTCCACTGGAGCAGTCTCTGACTACTGCACACTCTTCAGAATGTCACACTCTGAAATGAAACTCATCTCAGCATCAAGCGTTCTTATTTGTGAACTGGGCTGTTGTAGAGATTTAGTTTCCTGAAATATTACTGCCTTAACAACTATTAGATTTTTCAGTGCACTGAGGGAAAAATTACATTAGATCCCACATCGTGTGAAATTAATAATGTTTGAAATTTCAGTAATTGATATAGTTTCAATATATACTTATATATGTATACTTAAAACTGAGCTGTAAACAGAGAGAGCAGTCTGGGAAGAGTTTAAAAGTTAAACAATACAGCAACACAAACAATGCTGTCTAAAAGGACATGTACTCAGCTCAGTTAGTAGAGTACTTACCTAACATGCAGGAAGCTCTAGGAATAATGCACACCCACCTCCACACCTACCAGATATAAATAGTGGTTCATTCCTGCAGTACCAGAATTGGCGAAGTAGAGGCAGGAATGCCCCAAGTTCCCCGGAAGTCTTGAGTTATACAATAAGTTTGTGGCCAGCCTAGGCTACAAGAGCCCCTGTCACACAAATACCCAAAGAAAGAAATCCACTGCTTACTGTGTACCTTACCTACCAATGGGTAATGGACTGTTGAACTAGATTCAGCATGCTTTCAACCAACACTCAGTTGGGTCTTTGGGATTCTGCTCTAAGGGAGGAATGACAGTTTCTTGACACCTAAGAGTATTTCAGGAGATGATGGCTCACCTGGAGTGGTATGGTGCTTCTAAGATATAGTTCTAGTTCTAATTCAGGCACATAGTCTTTGGTCAGTCTACATCAGAGCTTTCTTTAATCACAAGAGTGGAGAGACCTGACATGGCATGTGATCTACTGACAAGAGTGTAGCCAATAGAGAAAATGCTCTAGTTAAATTGCCTTCAGCAATGTGAACTTTATCTTGTACCCATGTGTAATTTTCTAAATTACAGTGCTAAAGGAACAAACAGATTGTGTATCTGTATGCCTGTGATTATGTCTACTTCTGATATGTAACTCACTTTTAAAATTATAATTACCTCTTACTATGAATAAAGATAATTACCTTTACCTGAAGGGAGAGAAGTGGGTGTAGGGGGTGGGTACATTCTCAGGTTCTTGGAGAGCATCAGAAGGGTAGACACTGCATCTTCTGAAGCAGGACTGTTTCAGGAGTTCTTTACTATTATCTTTATAAGTTGTTCACTAATGAAACACCTGTTTATCATTTATCTTGGGTCTAATGAACTCATTAATACCCCACATTCACATGGAGGTAGAAAAAATAAGTTATTCCATTGGTTTGAAATTACAATCCTATTGAAGAATATAGTTATTGAATTGGTAGGAAAACTAACTCCTTATGACTGGACAGATCATTTCAAAAAGAAGCTAAGAACTGATCTCTGTTAGATTACAGCACACTGACTTAGCCCTGACAGGGAGGTGGAGGAAGTAAACACAGCAAAGTCACAGCACAGAACTACACAGGTGTGTTTGTCATTATGGATTTAATCACAAGAAAGCAACTTTTCTGTCCTGGGCTCATCTGCTGAATGTTATTCTCATCCAACTTCTCCTTTTTAATTGTCCCTCAACTCACTTGGAAGGACCACAAATTAAAGGGCAGCCATGTATGTGAACACCAGACACATGAGTGGTTAAGAGAAAAAACCCTAGGTGCCACTTGGTTAATTTCTGGTTGTTTTAAATTTGTTTTCTTTCACAACACATGGAAAGCAAATCTCTCTCATGAGACAGTGTGAATTTCTTCATCTCACTGACAAAATGACCCTCCTCAGTGGTCACTGACGAAAAGAGTATAACTTCATTCTACTCATGCAAGACATGCAACTAACATGAATGAAAAACTTCAAATATTTTGATCCTGACATTGAGGCTTTTCTCCAAACTAGTTAGAATATGGTTATATTGACATCCACCCTCCATTACAGGCCTTTACTATTTATATTATGGTTGGTAAGAAATCCAGATATTGAGTATAGCTAAGTGTCTATGTAGGGAATTTACCATCCCAGAGAGTGCAAAAAGGAAAAGAATATCATCCCTAGATAGTAGAGTAATAAAACTTAGTTGTGAGTGTAGTTCATGTTAAAACACACATGGTTCTTGATCCTTTCTGTAGCGTTCACGTACGCACGCACACACACACACACACACACACACACACACACACACACACACACACACGGCAAAACACACAAGTAAAATAGGAAAAATAATTCTATTGTTCCTTCATTTCACTTAAACTTGTACATTTGACTGATCAAATAAAAATAATAAATCAAATTCTTATGATGTGATGATTCTTTAGGCCTTGAGATAGTCTTGTGGGTAAAGATGCTTGCTGTCAAAGGTAAAGACCTACTTTAAGTCTTCTAGACTTACACAATTCAAAACTAGGAGAGAACAATTCAAATCCTAATTTGGCCTCTGACCTTATGTTTACAGTGGCAAGGGTTCACACTGACTAATAAATAATTAAAAGTGTAGAAAGAGTTCACTTAATTCTTCAAGACAATATCTGTCTATACATTTGCTGTGCTCGCAAGTTTTGCATATCAATGAAAGAATTGCAAAGGTGGAGTGTTCCTAGGACTCAGGAGACCATCTAAAAAGAAGAGGATATTCTTGTGTTTATGTGAACATTGAGGTCACATTTGAGAAGTGCTTGTTATATAAGAGACACTATTGTGAAGCAATTTGCAAATATCATGCCCCCTCTAAAAAATAATCCTGAAGAACACACCAAGGAAATAACAGAATTATGAAGAGCTTTGAAGAATTATTGGAGCTGGATTTGAAAAGTTATGTGTGCTTCAATGTGTAGCTCTTGATGTTTGTGGAAACTGATTCCAATAAGATGTTCAAGTGAACACTGAGAAGTGAAAACAATAAAGAAGTTAGTAGTGCAATTCTTGGGACGAAGTAACAGATTGGAGATGGGAATTCAAAGCAGAAAATATGGAGGTCAACAGAGCTTGTATTTTAACGTAAATGAATACTCCCTTGGGGGTAATACCAAAAACTACTAATAAAGAATAACTTTTTGTGGTATATATCATCATGTCTCCATCTCAAACTAAAGGATTATAAAAGCTATTGAAAATCTATTAAGAATCACTCAGGAGTGTCGCATGCTTTTAACCCCAGCCTTTGAGGCTGAGGTATGCGGATCTCTATGAGTCCAAGACCTGCCTGGTGTATAAGAACAGGTTCCCAGGCAGCCTCTGAAAAAAATGTTCCAAGAAACAAAAAAAAAAAATTCTACTAAGAAAACTATGAAAATGAGTGATCAAGATCTGCCACCAGATCCAAATTATAAAGGACCTCAGACTGTTCTTCACTACCTTGCCAATATGCCATGTTGACATTTTCTGCTTAGTGTATTTGAACAGTGTCACTGCTGGCCTACAGCACACATGCACTGGAGTTTCAGGCTTATTCTGCATGTAAGAAAGCTTAGTTGGGGCCAAAACCCCACACCAGTCAGCTCTGCCCTAAAACCACATGGCCCAAAGTGATAAACTGAATTTGGGCAGGTACAGGTGGTACCTAGTTTTCCAACTTGGTGTGGTTCAGTGCGTTCAGCAAACACAGGTAGCTCCCAGAACTTCCTTGAGGGCAATTAATACTTATCAGTTGAATCTTTTGTTCAATTACCCTGAAGGTAACAACTGGGAAATGAACTGACACATCAGCTCTAACTTTCAATTTAGGGAAAAAAAAAACCAAATTTCTGTTGCTTAAAAACTTTAGATGGCCTGTTTTATTTGTTTGTTTGTTTTTGTTTTCTTTTCCAACATACTTTGTCAAGTTCCTACATAGTTTTCTTGGAGGAAATTCAAAGCAGTCATTATAGGGAAGCACATGCAGCAATGAAATGAGACCTAACCCTGAAAAATAAAAAAGACATTTCAGAGCAGTGACTCTCAGGTCCTACATTTGAGATACACAAAAGAATCAGATTATTTCATGAGGCCTACAAATAGGATGCTAAATAGGGCAGTGCTGAGCAGAATGTCTTCAGGAATTAGCACACACACACACACACACACTACTGCTATTAATTCCGAGTCAAGAAGGGATATTTCTTAGGAGTCAAGTGGTACAGCTGGGCTGATCACAGTGAGTTCGAAGTGTGAATGCCTCATCGTCTCTTACCTCAGAGGCCGTTTTCTGACACTTATTATGACGGAGGATGATGTCTCTGCGTAGGAGAGTTTTCCCCTAGCTACTGCACTGTGGCTTTTAGACTGGAGAGGATAGGACAGAGTGTGATAGTAGCTGTAACTTTGTAACTTGGGGAATGAGCTTTCACTCTGGGGCTTGCTCCAGTGTTCCATAGGAGAGTGGTTTGTTTTTTTTTTTTTTTTTTTTTTTTTTTTTTTTTTGACTTTATAGGACAGAGTGCGATAGTAGCTGGGGATAGGGGGCTGAGCTTTCACTCTGGGGCTGTGCCCCAGGCCTTGGAGTGTAAGTCTGCAGCCCCACACTGGGTGCTTCAGCTTCTCTTGCTCCAGCTCTCCAGGACTCTGGTGTTGGAGGTCAGAGTGCCAGTGTTGACGCGTCAACTGAGATAAGGAGTTGGAGAGGGCAGTGGTGCCAGCCGGCCCCAGAACCCTTCCCTTTCCCAGTGCCCCCCTCACTGTGCTCTGCTGCTGTCCATCTGTACAGCTGCAAGGCCCCACATCGTGGGCACAGGGATGGCGGTGACTCATACTACCACCGTGGAGTGCCCATGGAGGATTTTTTGAGCTGCTGCCAGTTCTAATTATCTTCATGTTCTGTGAATTTAAAGTAAGTAGTGCCATGCACATGGTTCATTTGCCCATGAATAAAAATGCTCTATGGAGGTTCTAAATGAAATAAGGATTTTGGTCATTTTCATCATGTTGGCTGTTTTGGGAGAAAATACACAAAATTAATGCACAGTTGAAGTCTATTGCCTATAGAAGTACACATGCAAAACAAGGGAAGGGAGTGATTATTTTTCCTTGGGTTGCTGGGAAAGTCTTTAGACTGAGCAAATAAGTTTTAGTAGATGAGGTGTGAAAACAGCATGCACAGGAGCTCACAGCATAAGTGAGCCAAGGGCCTGATGTGAAATGATGCTTACTGTAGACCAGTGGGTCTCAAGGATTGCTGTGGGGGTGTGAGATCCAGCACAGGCTCATCAGTGGTGAGACACATAGAAAAAAATATATAGATATTCCTGATAGTATGAGAATCAAATGTCAGGGAAAAATAAACACAGGAAGGAGAATTGATAGGGGTAAGAATAGAGAAGTTGGTCCTAAATAGGGCAAGAAGAAGTAAGAGCTAAAATGAGTGTGACTTTCTTGATTAGCTGTAGAGAGGGGTGGGATGTGTATAAAATCTAGAATAATCCCAAATTCCTGGCTGTGTCAGTTAAGTTACTGAGATGGGGCTTATGGGAAGAGAAGCATATTGTAGATGAGAGATGATTTCAGTTCACATACATCTCTCTCAGAATCCACAATTAGGGCCTAGGGAGATGGCTCAGTTCGTAAAGGAAAGTGCTTTCCATGATCTGGAGTTGGAGCCCTTAAGGCAATGTAAATACTGGGTGGAGGTGTGAATAGAGGAATCCCAGGTTCACTGATAATCAGTTTATCAGAGAATGTGTGAGCTCTAGATTGAGTGAGAGACTCTGCCTTAGAAAAAGTGAGGTAGAAAAGGAAGACATTACCACAGCAGCCTCTGGCTTTTCACATAAAATACACAGGCACCTAGCAGTTACCAACACTTATTTTTGATAAGGTTGTGGGTGAGGAACATGGAGAGATTTTGCAGACTTGGCTGGATTTTCTGTGGTTCAGTGGGCTGTGTGGATGTGTGTTGCATTTTGTAAGGGAACAGTTCTCTCCCCTTCAGGATGGTGTTAGCTGTGAGTTTTCTATTAGTGCAGTTTGTCAGATTGAGAAAAGTAGTCCTAGTTTGCAGTCTCCTGATGATTAGAAGGTTGATTTTCTTACATATTTTATTACTATCTGTTGAGATCTTCTTTTTCTTCATTTCTTTTACTGTGGATTATGACATTGGTTTATTTAAATGAACATTACATTGCTTTCTGTGTTTATATGGTGTGTGTGTGTGTGTGTGTGTGTGTGTGTGTGTAAATGCAAAGCCCCAAGAGTCGGTTTTATCCTTCTACCACATTGGTGATGGGGGTCAAACACAGGCCCTAAGGATTGGTGGCAAAGTTTTTACCTGCTGAACTATCTTCTAGGCCCAATAATATTAAAATTTTTATTTAGATGTATTTATTATTATATATAGTGTGTTCTTTCTCCTTATATCCCTGCAGGCCAGAAGAGGACACCTCATTGCAGATGGTTGTGAGCTACCATGTGGATGCTAGGAACTGAACTCAGAAGCTCTTGACAACTAGCTAATGTTTTTAACCATTGTGAGATCTCTCCAACCCTTGCCCCCACATATTTTTTTTTACAAAGTCTTTTATGACTACACATTTTCCTGTTAAACACTGAATTAATTGTTTTGTGTTGCATTTTATTATTGAAAAAAAATTTTATGTTCATTGATGTTTTGCTCTTGCATGTATGTCCATGCGTCACATGTTTGCTGTGCTTAAAGATGCCTTAACTGGTGACATATTTCCCTGGAAATGGAGTCATAGATAGTGGTGAGCCACCAAGTGGATCCTGGGAACCAAACATGGGTTATTTATCTAGAAGAATGACAAATGCTCTTACCTGCTGAGCTCTCTCTCCATCCCTTCTTTTTTTTTTTTTTTTTTTTTTTTTTTTGATAACTAATTTTAACCCGTTGTAATCAGAGAATATGCTTCTTGAAATGGGAATTTTTTAATTGATTTTTTACTATTTTAAACTATATGTATGTGTGTGTATGTGCTTGTAGCTTCAGCTGCCCAAGGAAGCAGCAAGAGGGCATCAGATCTCACAGAGCTGGAGTCATGGGCAGGCACTTAGGGACTTCTTGACATGGATTCTGGGAACTGAAGTCTGCTCCTCTGCAAAAGCAGCAAATGTTTTCAGCTGCTGAGCCATTTCTCTGGGCTTGGCCCTGTGATTTGATTATATAAAGGATCAAAACAAGAAACAAACAAAGAAAATATTGAGGTGTGTTATAGCTTAGTGCCTGGATTTTTTCTGAAGAATCTTCCATGTACATTTGAGAGTGAATGTATTTTCTGCTATTATTGCATAGTATTTTGCTAGTATGATAGTCTAACTTATTTGTAGTGATTTTACCTCATTCTCTTTTCATGCTGACTCACTGAAAGTGAGATCTAAAAATAACTAACTACTTTTGGTGAACGGTTTGTTTTATCCTTACTTCAACAGATTTACTTCATTTTGTGGTTCTCTTGCATAAAATCCTACATCTTAAAGACTGAGCTAGCCTTTTCCATCACATCTTTGTTTCTAGTAACAGTTTTAGTCTTAGCCTTTTTTATCTGCTATCAGAGGAGTCAATCTACTTGTTTATGATCAGTTAGTATTGGGGCCTGGTGATAAAGACTAGAATAACCCACAGAGGGAAGATGGATTCAGGAAGAGGTAATATATGCAATTAACTGCAGGCATGACTCTGTGAGGTGTGGAAGAATATTTTAGAGGGTATGTGGAGGGCTTGGTTATACATTCATAGTCTTTGGAGGGAGATAATGGAAATATTTGCCATGCCTGAATATCTGTTCTGGTGATCCTAGAGGCAAATCGTTGTTATCATTGCCTTGCAACATGATATCACACTTTTGTGTATGTGGCTCAGGTGAGAAAGAGTCAGGACCAGGATAAAATATTTTTAACCCTTTTCTGAGCCCTTGTAAGGTCAGTCCTGTACCTTAAGGATCTAAAACACAAGGTTAAAGGAACTCTCCATGAAACCCAGAGCAGAGGCTGTGCACCTACACTTTGGATTCTTTCTGGAGTCACAGATGTAAAAAGGAAAATAAAGATACAGGGAATAAAAAAAAGAGGATACTATTGCATGTATTTTTTTTTGGTAGAAGTTAATAAGCTGTAGACAGCAGCTTGTAAAAGGTCCTTGTCATGTACTAGCATAAAACAGGTTTTATAGATAGTAATTATCTAAGGATTTGTTGTTCATTTTGTCAGACCCCAAGGAGAAGACAGCTGTGGAGATTCTAGATGGTGTGTGTTGATGCCTGGAACGAGTCAAGCCCATCATTTCTATGGTTGTTTTTGAAAGAGCCATTTTCTTTTTGGGCTCAAACTGCATTAATTTAACTCAAGAGAAAAGAAGGAAGGGTTTAAATCCCAACTCTGAAGCTCTGTCAGTTGTTTCTTCTCACTCTCCCTTCCTCAGAGGACAAGCTGCGGATCAGTGTTTTTCCTCTGCAGGAAATGTTATTTCAAACCCAGTGTATAGGGATAAATCATGAACCTGAACTCAGGGAAAAGAACCCAACCCAGATCATTGATACTTTTCTTTTTTTCTGGATTTAAAAATCTTTGGTAGGGATGGTGTCCCTCACCTATCTCCTTAATAAATACATGGAGATTTATTCTTACTTACGCATGGCTGGCCATAGCTCAGCTTTTTTCTAGCCAGCTTTTCTAAATTAAATTATCCCATTTCTCTTTATGTGTTGCCTCTGAGCTCTTTTCCCTTTATTTATTCTATATGCCTTGCTTTCCTTCTTACTCTGTGACTGGTGCCCTTGGTGTCCTCCTCCTCTTGTCCCTGGATCTTCTCTAGGTCTCTCCTCCTATTTATTCTCTCTGCATGCCAGCCAGCCCTGCCTATTTTTTTCTGCCTAGCTATTGGTCTGTTCAGCTCTTCATTAGGCCAATCAGGTGTTTTAGACAGGCAAAGTAATGCAGCTCTACAGAGTTAAACAAATGCAACATAAAAGAATGAAACACATATAAAATATCCCACAATGTTCTTTTCTTGATACTATATCCTTATCCTTTAACTCTCCTGGAGTTATGCTCTGTGGAATCTCCCCATAACTTCTGTTTGAAAACTACTGTTTCACCACACTTACTAGAAAACATATTAGGAGGCATTCTGCTTTGTATTTTATGGTAGCACATTCAATATGAATAGAGTTGGCCACAGCCACCTGTGCCTGTCTTTGTACCAGTACTGTTGAAGAAGCATGCTCATAGGTTTATTTTCTTTGTTTCGAAGGTTGTGGCAGCAGTGTCTGAAGATAGGGCAACAAGCTTTGATCCTAGTGAGCCATCATTAGAATCCCTGATATGTGTGGTTGCCATTGCACTGCTTACCATTTTCTTATTTCTTTGGAGAGGATAGGGATCAGTAAGTTACCACTTATAGTAAGTGATAAGTGAATGGTCATTCTAGGTTTTTTGCTTTTGTTTTTTAAGTTTATTTCCTTTTATGTGTATGACTGTTTTGCTTGTATGTATGTGTGTGTGTTACATGTTCCTGGTCTACAGAAGTGATTAGTGGGCCATTGTTGGATGTCCTGGAGCTGGAATTACTGATGATTGTGAGCTATAATGTCGATGATGGCATTGAATCTTTGTCCCCTACAAGACTAACAAATGCTCTGAGCCATTTCTCTGTAACCTTCATTTTGTGTTTAGACTGAACAACTAATTGGAGAAACTTGTTATTTCAGGGAAATGAGTTAGGTCTCAGTGTTCTGCATTATGCTAACAGGTGGTTTTTAAAAACTGAACAGGGATTAACAGACATATTTTTATGTAAGTATATTTTAAAAGATTTTATTGTAGGGATACTACACACTAGTACTAAAGCCCCAACTTTCTTTCTTTCCCTTTTCTTCTTTAAATTTGGGGTGTCTGTGCTTGTTTTTAACAATATTAAAAAGTTTGCAGGTATATCTACTTCCCAACTAAGAGTAAAAATCGCTGCTTTCATGGCTCTCCTGGATCATATATTGCTATTTCCTATGCTAACTGCTTTTAAGGAGGGAGTCATAACATAGCCTTTTCTTTCTGAGACTTCTTTTTAGATGTTGGCCTTTGTGCTTCTGACTGACTTCATTTCTAATATCTTCATGGTTTTTTCTTCCTTACCTTCTGCTTACATATATCCCACTATTTTTTTTCTTCCAGTTTTCTGTCTCTGTTTTCTAGGTGGCATGAGTGTCTTGTTTGCGTCCTTTGATCACTTTACCCTATCCCCACTGTTCTCAAGGGTGTATTTATCCCTTCCTCATCGAAAGCTGAAGTATGAAGAAGAAAAAGACTAATGAGTTTTTTAGTCAGTCAAGGTCTAGGGTCCAATGATATTACATATATTTTTATTTTGATTAATAACCGTAGGAGATTTAATAATGGTGGCTCCTTAAAATACTTTGTTTTAGAGCCAATATATGCATGGGAAACATGGGGTTAAGTGGAATTATACAGTTTTCTTTAGAATGAGACTGTTTCAGAGACACACATGATACCACACAATGGGAGACCTTACTATATAGCATTGTTTTCATTTGAAATAAAAGGCTTTCGGGTAATTTATTTACCATAAGGCCATAAGAAATTTGGCTTCTTAAAGCTGGAAGTAGAATTCAGATAGATTTGCTTGAAGATATATTTGATTTAATGTAGTTTTGTTAAATTTTTGTTTCAGATTCAGAGCCGACTTTATTTGAGTAAGTAGTCTTTTTTGATTTTAGATCTTGTGATTGTATCTAATTTAAAGTGTTTTCACACTTTAGTACTAATAATCTTTCCTTTGATTTCTCAGTAAGAGAGAATAGACTGGCTGTGGAACTTGCAATGGAAATAAAAAAGAAATGTGATCTAATTGACAAAGTGTGCCTTGCTCAAGAGGAGGTAAGATGTGTTTGAAAATACCACCCATCACATTGTGCTGTTTAATTGTTCTCCATGGGTTATTGCCTGCCATCAGAGCTTTGTTTCAGACCAGAGCTCTGTTTCTGCTCAACTTCATCACTTAGCCATTCGCTTTGCAGCCACCCTGGTGATGTGTAGTGTTTACCTTCCCTGACTATTTAGTCAGAGCACTTTGATTTGCTTATTGCTCATTTAGATATTGTAAAATTGCCTTTTACGTCTTATCCACCTTAAAAGATGACTTTATTTTTATTGTGTGTGTCTATTTGTGTCTATGTGTGTAGGCGTGTACCAAGAAGGCATTTGTGTAGTGATCATAGGATCATAGGACATGGAGGAGTCACTTTCCTCTTTTTACTACGTGGGTCCCTGGGATTGAACTCAGGTTATCAGTCTTGGCAGCAAGCTCCTTAACTACTTTCTGAGCCATCTCACTTGCCCATTTCCATCCTTTTAAATGCACTCATAATCTTTCTCAGTTTATGCCATATAGATTAGGGCCTTTGCTTTTACTATTTTATGTCATATATAAGAGTTTTTTCAGATATATGGATTGTAAATCTCTTCTACTCTGTGGCTTGCATTTCTTTTTTGTTTGGTGTCTTAGAAGGTAGAGGATTTGAATTACAATTTAATGTAGTGTAATGTTTCATGAGATTTTTTTGCTTATCAAGGATGTAAAGGTACTTTTACTTGTTATCATGTAGAGACTTTACTGTTTTCATTTGGACATGCTAGGGCTACTGTGACAAAATACCTTTAGCAGCAGAAGTGAATTTCCTTACAGTTCTTGAAACGAGTCCATGGAGATATAGCCAGGCTTTGCTTCCTCTGTGACCTGTCCCTTGACTTTAGATAGTACTGTCTGCTTGTTGTGTCTTTCTCTGTCCTAGTGCTTTCCTCATAGGATATCAGTCATATTATGTTGCGGTCATCTTAAATCCCTCATTTTAACCTGGCTGTATTCAAAGGCTTTGTCTCTAAATAACACAAATTCTGAGGTGCTGATATATAAGAGACAGGGTTTCTCTGTGTATCACTGGCTGTCCTGAAACTCACTCTGTAGACCAGGGTGGTCTGAAACTCACAGATTTTATCTTCCATAACTTGCCTTATTTATCACATGATATAAATGTCTGTTAGCCAGTTACCACATATTGTTCTACTGACAGACTGGAGAAGCCATTAATCCATTCCGGGGATAGTACATGACTCACTTGTTTGCATACACTTTAGTCACACTTGCTGTTAGGGTTTTCAGCCCCAGCAGATGTGGGGCAACTTTGCTAGTCACAACGGAAACGTTCTGCCATATGTTGCCTAGGCTGATGGTTGTGGCTTGTTTGTAGACCTGGCTTTCCTCAGCACAGTGTTTAGATTGCAAAACTAAGTTCAGAAAATCCAAGGGTACTTTACATGGTGGATATAAATTCTGTTTCCTTCTTTGGTGTCTTTTTTGATACAAGTTGAGATAAAATTTATATTTTTTTCCTCACATGTTCCCTTGTTTCATTCAGTATGAAAGCTTAGAGTCATCGTTAAAGGAGGCCAACTTTGACAAGGCATCAACAGAAGTACAGAGTTTGAAGGTTAAAAAAAGTATGATATAAAAGCTAGGGAAAAGTTTCTTATTAGAAATATCTTGTCTCCTCAAAAATAATTATGTCAGAGAAATATGAAATTGTGTATCTGGATATTACAATGTACAGAAAAAGTTAGTGGAAACAGAATATTTGTACGTAGCATAAATATTCTAAAACATAACAGTTTCAACTCTTGTCATTAACTTGTTTTGAGGGATACAAAATCAGTTTATCAGAAGGTATAGATTTATAGAAAGAAAGAAATTCTGCATTCTATACTCCGGTGAATGGATTGGAAAGACAATTCCTACTTTTGACATAGTTTGCTCCAGGAAAGAGACATAGAACTCTCACAAATTTAAGCATAGTAGCAGACAAGTAAGTTGTAACCGTATTATTTTTTCTTACCATGGTATAGTAGACATTTACTAAAATTAGACCAGAGCTTTACATTGTAAATAATGGCATGGTGATAAATATTTAATCCCTTTCTGTGCATCAAACCTTGTCTACACACTCTATCACATCCAGTTTTCTGTCCATAACCATGATTTCACAGAATGGAGAGTTTAGGAGAGATGGAAAGTTAACTCTCCTGATTCAGAGGACACAATGACTCGTCTTAACAGACAGAGTATGATGTCATGAAGTGCCTCAATACTCTTTGCAAGTAGAATGGTTATTAAAACTGAGTTGTGAGCCTGTATAGTAAATAGAAATAGCCTGCTCCTCCCATTGATAAAACAGAAAAAAAACTTTGTCCCTTTGATTATGTGTTCAGTCCAGAATGGCAGTTCTGTCATCCTCTGTCCTGAGTAGCAAGTCTGTGTCTTATGATGTAGAATGACCTTGTAGAATCTGCAGGGAGTTTAGACTCCAAATAAACTCATTAATTTTTCTTTATTTTTACATAGAAGTTTTTTTTTGGAATACAACTGTTTTAATTCCTTCAGGGGGTATTCATTGTTTGCCATGGTAAACTGGTGGTCACCTAAAATACTTACACTTTTTTTTATAGAAGTTGCTGGCAACTGCTAAATCTGCTGTTATTTTAATATTTGAGAAATGAAAAAATGTGTATAGTGTTTATTAATTTGAGTATATTCATCTGATTTTTACCCTATACTCATCTGATTTTTACCCTAAATAAAAATTCTTATGTTTGGCTTGTTTAAAGTTAGCTTTCTATTTTAGGCAACTTATAAAAATCTAGAAAGAGATAAATCTAAACTTGAAGAAGAAATATTACTTATAGAGAAGAAACTAGAAGAAGAGAGACCTAAACGTTATGAAGAAGAGGAATTGGTGAGTCTTATATATTCAAAGAGAATTATGAATCTTATATAAGTTAAATATGGATTAAAATATTATATGTGAGCCAACCATAGTGGCACAAACTTATAATACCAGCACTTGGGGAGGAGGAAACAACAGTTCCAAGCTATCCTGCCCTGAACAGGGAGAGGATATACTATCTTCAAAAATGTAAAGAAACTAATGTATGTAAAAAATGGAATGCAGGCTGGGCATTCTTGACAAATTCCTTTAATCTTAGCACTCTGGAGGCAGAGGCAGGCAGATCTCTGGGAGCCTGAGGCCAGCCTGCTCTAATGAACGAGTTCCAGGAAGGTTCCAAAGTGGCACAGAAAAACCCTGTCTTGAAAAATCAAAAGAAAAAAAAATGATGTAGAATAATATGAGAACAAAAATTTTCACATCTGATCTGATCTTTTCACCTCTTTTGTTTATTTGTTGTTATGTTTTGTTTTTTCAAAACAAGCTCTGGCTGTTGTGAAACACACTATGCAGACCAGGCTGGCCTGGAACTCACAAAGATCCACCTCCCTCTGCCTCCTGTTTTCTGGGATTAAAGGCATGTGCCAACACCTCCCATCAAACTTTTACTTTTTAGATGTTATGATGAGTGGCTTGTGCATATTCCTGTTTTCTTATTGTTTATATTTATTGACAATCTCTTAGAATATAGTCCTGTATGTATAAGTGAGGCTGGCCTCAAACTCATGACCTTCCTGCCTGTGCCTCTTAAGAGCTTGGATTACAAGTGTGCACCCCCACACTTGGCTAGCTTGTTATTTAAATGGAAAATTTCAATATTTACGTTGCAAGTAACCATAAACAATATAACATGAATATTCATAGTGAAAAATATATAACATATATATAATATATGTATATATATGTGTGTATATATATATCTTTTATTTTACTTTAAATTCTGGATTAAGCAAAATCTTGATGTGTGTGAGATTATTTATCATATGAATTAGTGGGTTCACCTTAAACCTGAAAAGTTCTATGATGTATTGCATTTGTAAGGACATCATGTGATTACATAATTTGTAAAATTCTTGTGAGCAATTGGAATGCAAGCTGATAAGGCCTCCTCATCTGGCCTCTAACTTTTATTAACAGTAAATTAACACTGTACCTAACTAATGCATGTTGTCTTGGAGCAAAATGGACTTATTAAATTCTTACTGACTGATACTGTCTTTTCAGATGAGTGACCTTTCAAAAATGATGCAGTCTCTAGCAGATGAATCACAGTCTGTCAAATCACAGCTAGCTGAAGTAAGTTAAGTTGAAATAAATTGGTCTGTCACTTCTGAAGACCATTTATCTTTCATATTATTATTGAGTATATTTGACAGAGTTTTTTAGAGCAACAGAACTTATGAGATGTCATATATATATATATATATATATCTCGGGTATTTATTAAAGCGATTTCCAGGCTGTGTTCCACTCAGTCCAGCAATGTCAGTCTACCAACAGAGAGTCCAAGAATCCAGCACTTTCTCAGTCCATGAGGCTGGATGTCTCACCTGTTACTCAGTATACACTGGAATACCAAAGAAGTAGGCTGTAATGCCAGTGAGGGTGAGGACCAGCAAGCTTCCTCCTTCCAATGTCCTTTAGATAGGCTGCTACCAGAATGTATAGCCCCGAATATAGGTGGATCTTCCCACTTCAAAAGATCCAGATTAAATGCGGGTCTTGCCACTTGAAATGATTTAATTTAGAAACAGTACTCACAGCTTCCTTGGGTTTTAGTTAATTCCAGTTATCGTTGATAACCAAACATAGCCATCACATTAGGTAATAAAATGTTAGTATTTGAAATGTAGCCAAGCTTAAATATGCATTTGTTTTAATGTGTTACTTTGTTTAAAAATCATTTTCCTCTGAATATATTTAACCTAGGAATGTATCTGTGCACTCTTGAAGTTGTGTAACTTGTATCGATAATAAAAAGAATTGCTTCCTGCCATATAAAGTTTAGGTCAGGAGACAAAGAGTAAGGAGTGTGAGGTCTTTCTCTAATATCTACTCCTGCACTAGTGAGCATGGAAGAGAGAGGTCACCAGTGGACTGTCCTCATGAGACCTACAGAAAGCCATCAATTCTGGTTAGAGTTTCTTTTTTAAAATCACAAAGTGGGCAGGCAAGCAAGCAAATTTTTCTGAAGTGTACATGACAATAGCAGGTTGCTAAGGGTGACAACCCATTCTTTCAGCTATTTCTCCATGTTATTCCCTTCCTGGTAGCAAGTGAAGCCATGTTTGGCAAATAGGCAGTACAAGCAGTGTTTTAAGTAAGCTGCTAAATAAACCAGTAATTCTGTAACTAATAATTGTTCTTTTGTATTTCAGTAGTTAACAAAATTGTCTGCATTGTACATGGAAGGTTCAATAATTTGTTCAAAGTCATGTGGCAAATGAGTGTATCAAAGTAGTGTTGATACTGTCTCTGCTGTAAATAGTGGAATGTTTTGGCCTTTGCTTACATTTTATGTTCTCCAGAAAAGACATAATCAGGGGGCTTTCTTTTAAATTGTTTTAAACGGTGTATTTCTATTACTTAGGCCAAAACCACACTAAGAATATTTGAAATAAATAAAGAACGACTTAAAGGAGTAATAAAAGATACCTTGAATGAAAATTCTCAACTTCAGGAAAGCGTGCATCAGGTTTGTAGACTACAGATATTCTTTTAGATATGAATATAGCCTTTGATGTTCTGGGTACCTCACGAATGAACCATGTGTGGAGTTGTGTAGTGAATGAGTAAACTTATGAGAGCAGGAAGTCTCCCCTGCAGGCTCCCATAGAGGATTTAAAACTGTGTTCTTCCATCTGTCTTCTCCCATGATAGAAGGCAGTCAGAATTTTTACTCTCACAGGAGACATTGGCTAACAGGATTCCTCACAATAAAGACTGCAGTAAGAGTTAACAGATTACCAATTGGGGTCCTAGGGGGAGGGAGGAGTTCTTGGGTAATATAAAGTGACAACTTACCTTTTATCCTCACCCCTCCTCTCTCCTAGACACTAACACACACATGCTCTCGCTGCTGTTGTCATAAATCTGTTTTATCTTCCCAGGTCCCAGGCCCCTTCCCCTCTGTCTCTTTCCTTCCTTCCTTTCCCTCCCTTGCTTTCTCTCTTTTCCTTCCTTTCTATAGTGTGCATATTGAGATGGGGGTGTGTGTGGGTGTGTGGTGTGTGTGTTTGACTGTGCACAGGTGTGACATGGTGTTGGTCCTTACCTTTACTTTGTTACAGACATACTGTTCTTTTCCTCTTGTGCAAACGCTTTTACTATCTTCCCAACTTACTAGTGAGACATTTTCTTCTTACAGTATTATGGATCTCTAAATAGTAGTCTGTCTGACTTGACTATATATCCTGAGTTGCCCGACGTTTTATTTTACTACTTGGCTTCCTGTAATGGATATTTGTAATCTATCTCAATGGAAATGTCAATCACTCAACTGCCTTGGCTGATTTGTTCATTTACAATTCTATTATTGTTATTATTGTTATTTAATTTTTGAGAGTGTCTTGTCTTGTAATTCAGGGTGACCTGGAACTTACTGAGCTACTCAGTCTCCTAATTGCTAGGTTCATAGGTATGTGTGTGCCTACTGCCAGATTTTTCCTCTTCTATTTTTTATTTTAATTATATGCATGTGTATATCTTGAATGTAGATATGTGCACACAAGTGCAGGTACCTTTGGAGGTCACATGCATCAGATCCCCAACATAGTCTGTAAGGGGAACCAAATCCATGTCTCGTGAAATAACCATAGATATTCTTGGACTCCTCCTTCATTTTCTTCTGGGGGCCATTTTTCTTGGACTCTTAGATTCTCCTAGTCCAATAAGAATGTGTAGTGAGTGGCAGTGGTGGCACATACCTATTTATCCCAGCACTATGAACAAAAGCAGGTGGATTTCTGTGACTTTGAGCCCAGCCAAGTCTACAGAATGAGATCCTGGATAGCCAGAGAAACAATGTCTCCAAGAAGGAAAGAAGGGAGGAAGGAAGAAAGGAAGGAAGGAAAGAAAGAGAAAGAGCAAAGAAAGAAAAAGAAAAATGTGTTCTATAGATCTACTGGGCATTTTTGTCCTGATACCACAGTTCACTCAACAGCCAAGGATTCTTGTTTCCTTATCTAAAATGTTCTGTTTCCTGTTTCAAAAGAGAACATTTGTCAATTCATTAACTTGTTTATCTTTCAGATAATAAGGTACAGTAGGTATTTTAAAAGGAGATTGCATAGCTGTAAAGGTCTTATTTTCCATTTTTAAAAAAGATTTTATTTTGAAATTAATTATTATTTTTTAATTTTGTGCATGTGTTATTTGTGTGCATTTGTGTTCATGATTAAGGTGCTCTCAAAGGCCAGGGAAGGAAGTTGAATCTCCTGTACTTAGATTTATAAGTGGCTGTGATGAGCCCGATATAGGTGCTGGGAACTGAACTCAGGACCCCTTGGAGAACAGTGCATAGTATTAATCACTGAGAAATTGCTCTAACTCGTTGTTCTCTTTCATGTTTCTGATATATAGATACTTATTTGCACTTCTTGGTGTGTTGTTTCTGTTTTGTTGCTGTTAGTGTGACAGGGTTTCTCTGTGTAATTGTCTTGGCTATTCTGGAACTCACTATAATTTCATGCAGGCTCACACCAGGAGATCTTTCTGCTGTGCTGCATTTTTTTTTAAATAAAATTTTGATATTGCTGCATTGTCTTCCCTTTCCATGTTTGGTTTTGAAACTTGAATGTTGTGTTGATTATGGGACCTTCTTTGCTTTCTGCCCTTTTTTTTCTCCTCAAACATTATCTTTCTGTTGTCTTTAGTTATCTGAGATTGTGTGATGATGTGTCACATAGGGTTTCTTTAATATGTTGGATTCTTACATTCTGGAAACTCTTAAAACTGTGGGTTACTAGAACTATTTATTGTGATAATTTAAATTTTGTTTTTTTTTCCTTTTTATTTAAATTTGAAACATAGTTGTCAATCCCAGTTCTCTCATGTGCCCATTCACGCCTATAACCCCCACCAAAACCCTCCCTATCCCCTTTCTGCTTCCCATGGAGGGTGAGGCCTTCCGTGACCATATAGCAATCCAAGAAATACTGGAGAGACTAACTTTAAAGCCCTTCCATGATAATGATATTGACGACTACCTGATTTGTTGAGTGTGTTTGTGGATGTGTGTGTGTGTTCATTTGTGCACGTGGATACATGTGTGTAACTGTGTGTAGTGACTAGAGGCCTTAACAGTGTCAGGAATGGTCCACATCATTTTTTAGAAAGAATAATCTCTCTTAACTAATTCTATCTATCCTGGAGCTCCCTATGCAGAATAGGATGACTTTGATCTCACAGAATTCCACCTGACTCTGATTCCTGGGCACTGAGTTGAAAGGTGTGCATTGCTGTGCTGGACAACATTTCATCTCATTGAGCTGGTTGGCCTTAAATCCAATTAGAAAGTGGTTGCTTACTTTAATAACACTTATGCTACTGTGGTACCATAAGCCACATCTTGCTGCTGGGTTGTTATTTCAGCTTGTGTGCTTCACAGGTAGGTGACATTGATGAATATGTTTTGTACTGCTGTATGCATAACACCTTACAGCACTATTAAAGCTTGCCAGTAGGGATGAAACATTCAGCTATATGTATGCATAAAAGAAAAAATGAGATGAGTGGCAGAAAATGTGATGTGTATTTGCATGTTTGAGAGAAGACAGGTTCAGGGAGGTAATAGGAGAGATATCAGGTGCATGTGTGTGCTTCTGTGTGTTGGTATGTGTGTATATGTTCAGGCATTCATAGGGACGAGAGGAAGACATTAGATCATTAGAATTACAGGCACCTGTGAGCTACTCAGTGCGGGTGCAGGGAACTGAGTGTGGGTCCTCTGCAAGAGCAGTATGTGCTTTTAACTACTCTACTGTCTCTCCAGTTCCCTAATTCTTCCCTTTTGGTTTCCATTCCTCCATCTACTACTACTGCTTTCAATCATGAGCCTCTCTGGATTGTGTCAGGGCATCTTATTTTATGTTTTTCTAACTGGCTTATGTTTCTTCTATTGTCTGTGGATTGTTTGGTCTCACATGTGTTCCTTCTGTTTGTCCATTTTCTTTTGGGGTTGATGCCTTTTCCTTTCACATTTTGTTCTGTATTCTCAGATTTTAGAAAACATGGTGGTGAGAACTCCTGTGTTGATTGTCCTTACTATAATAAAAGCTGAGTCATCCTCACTTCAATGTCCTACCATGTATACCAGGCTAAACTGGAACTCACAGTGAAGTTCAGGCTCAGATTATCTGCAGATATATATATATATATATATATATATATATATATATATATATCTTGACATATATATATATATATATATATATATCTTGACATTGGTGGCACATACCTTAAATTCCAGCACTTGGGAGGCAGAGGCATGTGTATCTCTGCTGTGAGTTCCAGGCCAGCCTTTTCTACAGAGTTGGTTCTAGGACAGGCTCCAAAGCAATACAGAGAAACTCTATTGGGAAAACAAAACAAACAAAGTAATGAGATGTAGCAGAGTATATAGGGTACAAAGATAGAAATAATTGAATAGATTTTTCATACAAGTATGTGTCAAAATCATGTACTTGATGAAAATTTTCCTTGGAAATCTGTTGAAGAATATTTCTAATTTTATAATCTTCTGCTTTGAAAGTTCTTTATAAAAAGGAACCACATCTGAGTCCCTATTTAAGTAGCAGCCCTGTTTTTTAATATCATTAATGACACATTTAGTATCTTTTAATGATATTGAAAAAAATTCATCTAAAAATTGTGCTGTCTTTCACATCCTTGTTATTGTTTTCCTATCAGGATTTAGAAGAAGCTAAAATCATGAAAGAACAAATGAATCAACTCAATAAACAGAAAATAGCAATCGAAGTATCTAACGTACAGGCAGAGCAACTCCTAAAAGTTAAGGAAAATCAGATCAAGATAATGGCTTGTTGGGTTTAGTCATTAGTTGGTCACAATTATATACTTAATTGTAAAATCAAATAATTTTAACAGCTTTTATTTGCTATTGTGTCTTTTTGTTACATTTCAAATGCTTCTAGAACATACATAGATTTGTAATACATGTGTTAACACTCCATGTCTTTGTTCTCCAGTATCTTAGCCTGGAGTTCATGAATAATGAAATAAAATAATGATTTTTACCTTTTTGTTGTTTTATATAACCAAGTCCATTTAAATGAAAACAAACATTAGACAATATTTGGGAATTTGGGCATCGTTTTTCCAAACTACTTCCTGCAGGTAAGGGGCTCTGTCAAGGTAATTCCAAGAAGATGCAGAAATTCTGGCTGTAATTTTTTTAAGGCTGCTTTGTCAAGCTGTTTTGAATGTAGGATCACCTGGTACTCTGTTTCAGGCAGTCTGGCTTGATCAAACCACATTAGTCTGGAAGAAATCCACATCTTTTCACTTTTGTGGAAACAAAAATAGAAATCCTTTTCCCCAGTAACTTGTCCTTGAACTTAAATTTTGGAGTCAAAGCATTTTTTTAATTTAATTTATTATTTTATATGTCCATCCCAGTTCCCTCTCCCTCTCTCATTCCCTCCCTTCATTCCACCCTCTCTCCCTCCCTCCTTTCATTCCTCCCTCCCTCCTTCCCTCCCTTTTATACTCTTTGCCCTCTCACATGCACTCTAACCACCCTCCCCTCCCATCCCCCCACCCCAATTCCATATGTAGGGGAATGCCATCCAGTTGGGGTCATGTAGATCTGACAGGTCCTGTGAAGTAGGGACTAGGGCTTCTCTCCTGTCTCTAGGTAAAGGCAGTTATCTCCGTGGCAGATGTGTTAGCAAGGTCCTTTTGTGCACCAGGGATACATCCTGGCTCCACTGTCTGAGTTCCCTTAGACTGCTCAGTCCCTTGGCTGAGAGGCAAATTCAGTGATCAGTCCCATGCTGGCTTCCCAGCTATAAATCTGGTGGCCCATTAGCTACTTCTTGTTCAGGCATGTTGTCTCTATGTGTTTCTGTAGCCTGGTCTTGTCCTCTCCATCTTCTTCCGGGTTCTACTTAGACTCAGTGTTTATGTATGGGTGTTTGCTCCTGTTTCCATCAGGCAGAAGTTTAGGACTCCATGGATAAGTTAGTTGTTGATCTCACTCTCCGGGAAGAGCATTTATGGTAGCCTTTCCATGGGATCTCAGATTGTTAGTTGACAGCAGTCTTGTAGGTCTCTAGACCTTTCTTTGCATTCAATTTTATCTTCAAACCATTATTGGCTCCATCTTTTATGTTCTCTCTCTCTCTCTCTCTCTCTCTCTCTCTCTCTCTCTCTCTCTCTCTCTCTCTCTCTCTCTCTCTGTCTCATCTTCTATTCCTAACCGGGCACAATCTTCCTGGTCCTACATATTTTCCTTTCCTCCCCCTCCTTTTCTCCTACTTTTCTCCTCATTCGCTGACCCCCCACTTCCCCTGAGCTCTGGGGGACCTGTCCCTTCCCAGTTCTGTGAGGGACTTCATATGAATGTCTTAGAATACACCTTGTATCCTAGTTTGTCTGGTGATGTGAATTATAGGCTGGTGATCATTTGATCTAGTTCTAAAATCCATATATGAGTGAGTACATACTGTGTTCCTCTTTTTGTGACTGGGTTACCTCATTCAGGATGGTTTCTTCAAGTGCCATCCACTTGCCTGCATGCTTCCCACAGAGGCCAGAAGAGACCACTGGTTGTCCTGGAGCTGGAGTTGCAAGTGGTTGTGAACCAGCTGATATGGGTGCTGGGAAAAGAGCTTAGATGCTTTAGCAGAGTAACGAGTCCCGAACTGCTCAGCTATCTCTCCAGTCCAACTGTAAATTAGTAAATATATATATATATATATATATATATATATATATATATAAAGAATGTCAACAGAAAGTATTTTAGGGAGTGGGGAGATAGTTTAGTGGGTTAGTGCACTTGGTCTCCAGGCATAAGGACTTGAGTTTGAATTCTAAGCACCCACATAAGAAGAGCATGGCTGCGCATGCCTGAGAGCCACACACAGGGTACAGAGACAGTGGAGATTAGAGCCTGTTGAGCTGCCATGCTTTTGAGATAGTAGAGTTCTGATTCCATGAGAGGTCTTGTCTACAGGCAGTAAGCTAGACTATGATGGAAGAAGACACTTGCATCTTCTTACCTCATGCTCTTGCAGCTGTATGTCTACCTGCATACTCATGTGTGTATGATACACACAAAAGAAAATATTTTGTTGCTTTGTAGTTAACAAGAATGAACCATTATAAAACACTGTATTTGATTTTGTTTTCTCTTCTTTCTTTTCCTTATTCTCTTCATCCTTCTTTCCTTCCTTCCCTCACTATCTCCCCTTCCTCCATCCCTCCCTTCCATAATATCCATAATATTTTTTTGCATATAGAGTTTCAAGAGGTGTTTTTTTATTACCAGAACTCACTTTATTATATCAGGCTGGCTCCCACCTCACATAGATCTGCCTGCCTATTCCTTCTGAGTGGTGGGGTAAAAGATGTACCATGTTCAGCAAGTTAGTTTTTCAGGATTACTAGTCCCTAAATGTGGAGTTAGAAAATAAAACCAACTATTTACATATCTCAATTGCAGACAGATACTTAGGGCACAAAAGGATTTATTTATGGGGATTGATTTAAAAAAGTATAATATTTAAAAAGTTACTTGTGTATGTATGTGTCAGGTATGTGCATTCCATGATGTGGGTATGGAGTTCAGAAGACAAATTGTGGGAGGCAATTTTCCTACCATGTGGGTTCTGCGGATTAAACTCAGATTATCAGTCTAAGTGGCAGATGCTTTTACCTGCCAAGCCATCTCATTGGCTCAGGATTGAATTTCAGATGAATTAAGTTCTAAATTGTAAAGCTATTATCATGAGTCATTACCTTCTCTTTTTGTTTTCTCTTTTTACTCAATATCCAGTCTCTGATGGAGAGCCTGCTAAGGAGGAAAGACTGGAATCCTGTGCTTGGGGAAGATGTAACTGATGATGGTAATCTGGATGTAGAAGTGAACAATGACTTAGAGAATAACGTGCACTGACTTGTTGCGACCGGCTCCTTGTTTCCTCTTCATTCCACATGTGTATCGAGCTCCTCATATACTTAGACTTGGCACATTTTGTCTATCTTCATGAAGTACCACGCACTCTTTCCACCTTATTTAGCTAGTCTTTTGTGTAAATCTTTCTTTACCTCTTCAGAGGTGTAGACTTCTTCTCTTTTGTTCTTCTCTATAGCCTATATTTCTTCATTATAACAACACAGCACTTAAGTTCCATAAAAAAAGGGGAACTATAGTAAGGTATATTTGTATTTTTCATTTTTATTTTATAATAGAAGAAACATAAATTCTATTTATGTTTAATAGTACTTAACTTGGAGCCATGGTTCATTAATAATTTTGCTGTTGAAGCCATGATTGACTAATTAACCTGGAGGCTGTAATGCCATAAGAATCTAAGCATAGTTAAGTCCATGGACACTGTTTATGTAAATATTCAGTTCTTGTTGGGTCACTGTAGTGCACTGCCTATCTTCCTGAGTTTAGGTCACTCTACCTTATGTAAATTATTGTTTTTATTTTAATTACTCTTTTTACTGAGACAATCCCCTTGTCTTAGCTGTGAAATGTTGGAATTAGAGTCAAGAGCAAGTAAGCTCAGCCTCAAATTGTTTAATTTTGGCTGGAAGAGGGGTTGCAAGACTAGATGAAGAACTGATGCATTAATTTGGATGTGTTCACTAAGTATGGTTTTATTTTTAACTGTAGGTAATCAGCTTTGAGGAAGCTAATATATGCTACTGAGGTTTGTATTAGTACGTAAAAATCTAGATGAGGAGCAGGACCTACAGCAGAGATGAAATCTGTGTGTCCTTAAGTAACTAATTAAAAGATTGCTTTCATTTTTTGTATAAGGTTATGTGATAAATGATTAGAATTTTCTTTTTCTTTTGATGTATTAATTTTCTTTACATTCGTGGTTTGCCAATATGCTTGTCTTTATAAGGGTTTGAGATTACCTTGAACTGGAGCTACAGACAGTTGTGAGCTGCCATGTGGGTATAGAGATTTAAATCCGTGTCCACTGGAAGAGCAGCCACTGCACTATCTCTCAAGCCCCTAGGATTTCCTTATCAATTTCTTTTTTTATATCAACTTTAGAAATTCTTATAATTAGATTATTTAGAAATGTTCAAATTGTACACTCATTCCTTCCATTAAAGATATCTTCAGAAATATTATTGTTTTGTTTCATCATTCACCTTGTTCATTCTTTTCTTCTGGTTCCAATGGTTCCACATACTCTTTTGAGAAATAAATAATAGCTGTGTTTTCTTCTGGTTTATTCCCTCTGTCTGTTCTTAGTTAATCTGTGTAAAAAGTCCTGATTGTATAGGGTGAAGGCTGCTTTAGCAGCTGCACTGATGTCTTTATGTTGTCCATGATAACATAATCACAGGGAAAATAACTGCAGATCAGTAGTATGGGGTATATTGGGAATGTGTTTTGTGTGTGTGTGTGTGTGTGTGTGTGTGTGTGTGTGTAATTGATAATTGCTTTTCTTCTTCTTTTCCTTCTTTAAAGTTAAGCGCTTCGTTAAAAACCCTAGAAGGAGACAGAAACCAAATTTATACTCAGTTATCTAAAATAGATGCAACAAATGATGATCTTACAGGTAAGGGTTCTTGACGAGCATGTCTCCTTAAATAGAATGAATTACTTCTGAGTTTTACTGTCAGTGGTAAATGTACTCCATTTTCTCTAATATTTATGTAAATTATTAAAAGCATGTAAGAATGTGGAGTATGGTGCAACTTTGTTAGGGTTTCTATTGCTATGTAGAGACACCTTGACCATGGCAACTCTTATAAGGAAAGACATTCATTGGATCTGGCTTACAGTTCAGAGTTCTAGGGCCTGCAAATGATAAGTATTCCATAAAGTAGTATTCCATAGTAATTGCACTGCAGAAGATCACACAGGCAGACATGGTGCTGGGGAAAGAGCCAGGAGTTCTATATCTAGATCTGCAGGAAGCAGGAAGGAAGAGTGCCACTGGGTCAGTCTTCCTAATAGTGTCATATCCTCTGAGCCTAGAGTGACATTTTCACTCAAGCCACCACAAGGAGTACAATGTTGGATATAGTTTTAGATGTTAAAAAGTTTTAAATTTAATTTTTTCCTTACATTTTTAAAATTGAGAAAGTGATCTTCAGGACTTGAGCTTGTAATGTCTACTACTTTAATATATTCATATAATTCATTAGCATACACAGTAGTGGCTTTAGACCTATAAAAAAAAAGTTTGCTGATTTTGTTCACATTGAAAAATAGTTTTTTCCAGTTGTGTTTGTGCTGTAAAAGGTATATCACATCTCACTTTGTTAATGAAATAAATTCATATGTTTATAACTGAAGAGAATGGATGGACATATTCAAATGTCTGTGCTGGTTAACTCAGAATGGGAACACAGGCATTTTTTTTTTATTTCTCCTCATCTATATTTTCTTTTCAAAACAGGCTTTATTGATCCTGTTACAATTGCATGAATGATGCAACATAAGACAAAAGCTTCTGCTTGTGGAACTTCATTTCCACCTGCCTGATGCTTTTCCTGCCTGTTTCTAACTCTACACCTATGATCACAGGTAAGCCCCTTCACTGATTACACAGCTGAACATAAACATACCAGAAATTAACAACAACAAAATAATCCTCTCAATGAATACAAGAAACGTCAATATGTAGTCAACCATTGCCACGGCTGCCCAGAACTTCACATTTCTTTCTTTTCATTCTTAATTTATTCTGTATTCCAAACAATAGCCAGAACCATTTGAATCTGGACCTATGCTCTATACCAGACTTCATCATTGGGAGGCCAGCTTCAGTGTATTTTATCTTCTTTATAACCTTCAAGACCAGGGTTGAGATCTGATGAGATAAAGACCAAAAGGGTCTCAAAGGCCTTTAACTCTTTTAATGAGCAAAATGCTTAAAAAAGATTGAACCATTGGATTAAATTGCTCTACTCATTGATTATAGTAATTGTATTGTTATTAGACCTAAAAAAAACACTAGTCTAATTAAAAAAAAAAAAATGCTGCTATCTGAGATGAATTGTATTAACAGCGTGGAAGATACAGAAAGGAATAGGCATTCTGTTCTCAAGGTAGCTTTATCGAGGCATACATTAACTTACATGTATCTTAGTAGGAAGTACCAGTGTAGCAAGCAATTAGTTCACCAGTTATTCCATTGTTTTCTCCTTCTCTTGGCCAGTCTTAATCCCCTCCCCCCCACCAAGTAATACTGGAAACTCTTGTGTGTGTAGAGCATTCCTCCAAATCTACCTTTTCTTTTTCCATGGTGTTTTTTAAAAATTATTTAATGTTTTTTATTTATTTACTTTATTGGGATTTTGCTCATATTGGGATATGTCTGTGTGAGAGTATCAGATCCCCTGGAACTGGAGTTACAGACAGTTTTGAGCTGCCCTGTGGGTGATCGGAATTGAGCCAAGGTTCTCTGGAAGAGCATTCATTGCTCTTAACTGCTGAGCCATGTCTCCAGCCACAACATTCTTTCCTTAATGCGTCATAAATTTTTTCAATAATTTTACCATATGGGAGCATTTTTCTCTAACCATCTCTCATCTCCCATAGTATCTGGCCTTTTTGGTAATAATTTATAGTGTTCTTCCTTTAAATGCATGTTTCTATGTAACCCCAGGTTTCTTGAATTCTTCACATTTCTACCTCAGCTTCTCACATGTCTGCTTTATATAGGCTTAAAATTACTGCACCTGGCCTGTACAGTGCCCTATTATAATGTGTGGGTTCAGTGCATAAAAGCCCCTTCTTCTGAGCCTGATGGTCTGAATTCAGTCTTCAGTGGAAGGAGAGAACAGACCCCTGCTAGTTGTCCTCTGACCTTTGCCCACCCGGGCATGCAGGCTCAGGTGAACACACACACACACACACACACACACACACACATTTTTTTAATTGAGCTATACTTTTTCCCAGACCCCTTCCCTCTGAGCCCGCCCCTGCCTTCCACGTCTCCCAAACACTTAGTTTTAAAAGTTTTAAACTGAGATAAAATAAGACATTAGAAAAAAGAGCTTGAGTGTATAATGGTAAAATAAATTGTGTTGTTTTGTAAGACTTCTTTGCATTAGTATGATTCAATTATATTACAGCTTATATTGATCATTGATTTCTTGATAAGTGACTTGTTAGATTTGGCAGACAGCACGGATGGGCATTTTTTTCTGGAATAGCTTTACAATTTTTGCAGAAGTCACCTATGCATGATTTCCTGTACATGTTCACTTTGCTATTACTGTATTGACACAAACTTTTCTTTTGGTCCATATGTTTATTTAGCTTGCATTTTAGAATAATAACATCCAATTGCATATAGTTAGTAAACTTTTCCTTGTTATGATTTTGAAACTGCCCTTTTGAAGTATAGTGCATTTTTTCTTGTATTCGACTGGTTCACATATGTTTTGGGAATGATACCTTAGAGCAGGTCAGAGTTGAGGATCTCATTTCAATATTAGAGCTGTGTAGAGTTGTAGTAATCATAATGAAAGAAAAGTGAAATATGTAAAAATAATGGTATGCTAGTTCATACAGAATTCACAATCACTTATAATTGAGAATCCATTTTGTGTGTGTCTGTATTCATATGTATATAGAGGACAAAAGTAGATATTCAGGCTTTCCTTCAATAGCTTTCCCCCTTATTCATTGAGAAAACTCTCATTAAACCTGCAGTGTGCTGCTCAGTGAGCCCTAGGGATCTTGTTTTTTCCCTTTCCAGCACTCAGACAGGTCTTTTATGGGTGCTCAAGACCCAAACTTTGGTCCTCATGTTTGTTTAGCCAGTACCTAACTGACTGAGCTGTCTCCCCAATTTTGTGGGGGATTCAGTAGTATAGCAGTTGAAATAATGGAAAAGTCATTATTCTTTCCAGTATTCATTTTGTTTGAGACTTGGTCTCTCAGGAAAGTGGAAATGAGCACTTATTATCAGCTAGTTTGAATGATAGCACATGAACAATTTTGACTGAAAAAAAAAAGCTGATTTATTATGGTACTAGTAAGTGAACTGTTGTCTTTCGTAATTGTCTATAGCTGTATGTCCCTGGGCATGTCCAATCTTGTCAATTTTCTTTTTTTTCTTTAAGATTTATTCATTTATTATGTATACAGTGTTCTGACTGGATGCACACCTGCAAGCCAGATGAGGGCACCAGACACCATTACAGATTGTGTGAGCCACCATGTAGTTGCTGAGATCTGAACTCAGGACCTTTGGAAAAACAAACACTCCCCTTAACCTCTCTAGCCGCTAAAAATTTAAGACATATTTTTAATTGTATATTGTCTGAGTGATTCCATATACATTGAAAAAACCCTAGGCATGTGACTAAGGATTTTTGTTTTCAAGACATGCTTCTCTGTGTATCTTTATAAAGTAGGTGGGTTTTGAAGTCACAGTGATCTGGCCAATTTTGTGTATCTTTAATATGATTTTAATATGTTTTTAATTTTATGAAATTCCTTTAATTTTGTTTCTTTATGATTTTGTAACTTTGTCTAGAGCATATGCGAAGTCTCAAGTCTGAACAAGTGTCTCTGCAGTCAGGTAATACACAACTTGAAATCGAGAAACAGAAGCTTCAAAGGAAAATCACAGTGATGAGGGAGCTGTACCAAGACAATGAAAGGATGCTTCACAGGTGAGAGGTGAATTGCAAGTAAAATGTCTTTAAATGCATGTTATGTATTAGAGGCTTTACACATTGATTATTGGATGTTATCAATTACGTAGAATCATTCATGTTGTTTCTTTTATTTTTAATTTGGTGTTTGTGTTTTCAAGACAGGATTTGTCTGTGTAGCTTTGCAGCCTATCCAGGAACTCACTCTGTAGACCAGGCTGGCCTTGAACTAAGAGACATCCACCTGCCTTTGCTTCCTGACTGCTAGTTTTAAAGGGGTGCCCTACATTACCTGGCTACATCATTCACATTTAAGAATGTTATTTTGTCTTGGACGTTTTTCTTCATGAACAAAATGTAAATATGTTGGAATTCCCAAGCTACCTTTCTCAGTATCTAGTAACATTTATCAGATTATTGCCTTAAACTCATGCTGACATACAGGGTCCGGGAATCTGAGTAGTGTCTTTGGATGGAACTTCCTGGTGTATATAAAACTGATTCCGTTCTTCTGTGCATGTTAGTCTTGCTTAATATTCCTTGTTGTAGTTACTAAATGGCAGTATCATTGTCTTTGTGAACAGGGAAGCTGCTAGTCAACATTCAGTGCCCCTTTTGTGTCCCATATTTGTTTGTCTTATCATCAAATTCTGTCAAATTTCTTAACCTTTAATCTGATGGCTTTTTATCATCTACCAATACTCTGGTTAAAGCCATCATTAGCAGTAGTTGGTTCATTACAGTAGCCCTATGAATATCTTATACCTCAACTTCATACACTGTCTTTTCTCTGTAAACTCAGAATACTTCCTAAAACATAAATTGTGCATACTGTCACAGTCTTTCCTGGACTCCCACCCCAAATGCTTTTAAACAGACTTAAAACAAGATTCTCAGAGCCAAGTTTACCATACCCACCTTGTGAGAAGCTATAGACTATACTATGTCTCTTTTCTTTGTTGCTATCTATTGCCATTGGCTTTCTTCATTTTTGGTGTGCCCAGCACATCTGTATGGTAAGGTCTTTCATCTTTCAAGCTTTTTCTTTTCTTCTTATTTTTTTCACTATGTGGTGTTCTATGTGCTTGCATTTTCGAATCTTTATTTCATTCAGATATGGGTCCCACTGTCATCTTAAAGAATGCTTTCTTGGTACCCTAACTGAACCAATATCTCTTATTTTGTCCCGTTATTTCTCATCACATCTTGTTTTGTTCTCTAAACATCATGTGCTCCACTTCTCATTAATTTAAACCCTGTAAGAAGTATGGTACTTTTATTTATATTCCCAGTGCCAAAACTGAAAGGAAAATAGTGGGTTTCCAATCAATATTTGTGCTCAATAAATTCTTCAATGACCTTGAAAGGATAATAATCAACTTTATAAAGAAAAAGAAAAAAAAAACCAGGATAGCCAAAACAATCCTGTACAATAAAGAAACTCGAGGAGGCATCACCATCCTCAACTTTAAGCTCTACAACAGACCCATAATCCTGGAAACAGCCTGGTATTGGCACAAAAATAGACAAGGTCACCAATGAAATTAAATGAAATATTCTGACATTAACCTACACAGCTACGAACACCTGATTTAGGACAAAACAGCTAAAATTATTCAATGGGGCAAGGACAGCATCTTCAACAACTGGTGCTGGGACAATTGGATAAGGGTATGTAGAAGACTGTAGATAGACCCATGTCTATCACCATGCACAAAACTCAAGTCTAAATGGATCAAAGACCTCAGCATAAATCCATCCACACTGAAACTCAGAGAACCTCATAGAAGAGAATGTGGGAAGTACCTTTGAACAAACTGGTACAGAAGACTGCTTCCTGAACATAACTCTAGTAGCACAGACACTGAGATGTACAATCAATAAATGGGACCTCCCCAAACTGAGAAGCTTCTATAAGGCAAAGGACACAGTTGACAAGACCAAACAGCAGCCCACAGACTGGGAAAATATCTTCACCAATCCTATATCTGACAGAGGGCTGATCTCCAAAATATACAAAGAACTCAAGAAACTAGTTAACAAAACACCAAATAACCCTATTAAAAATGGGATCCAGAACTTAATAGAGAACTCTCAATAGAGGAAATTCAAAAGGCTGGAGGGCCCTAAAGAAAGTACTTACAATCCTTGGCTATCAGGAAAATGCAAATCAAAGGAACTACGAGATACCATCTTACTGCTGCCAGATTGGGTAAAATTAGAAACACCAAGAACAACTTATGCTGGACAGGATGTGCAGAAAGGGGAGCACTCCTCCACTGTTGTTGAGAGTGCAAAGTTGTACAGTTATTTTGGAGATCATTAAGGCGGTTCATCAGGAAAATGTGAATCAGTCTACCACAGGCCCCGGGAATCGCCATCTTAGGCATATACCCAAATGATCCACATCCATGCAAAAAAGACTTCTGTTTATGTCAGCATGGTTTGTAATAGCAAGAATCTGGAAGCAACCAAGATGCCCTTCAACTGAAGAATGGATAAAGAAGATGTGGCACATATACACAATGGAATACTACTCTGCCGGAAAAGAAAATAATAGAATCTTGAAATTTGCAGTCAAGTGAATGGACCTTGTAGAAACCATCCTGAATGAGGTAACCCAGTCACAAAAAGAATAAAATTGTATGTACTCAATCATATATGTATTTTAGACAGAGCAAAGTATCACCAACCTGTAATTAACACTGCCAAAGAAATTAAGATGCAAGGAGGATTCTAAGAGATTCATATAAGTTCCCTCACAGAAGGGAAAGGGACAAGCTCTCCTGAGCATATGGGGAGTAGTGGGGCAGTGAGTGGAGAGGGAGCTAGGAGGAAGAGAAGGGGAGGAGAGGAAAGCATGTGGGCCTAGGAAGATTGAGTCAACGGGAGGAATAGATGAGAACAGAGAGAGAGAGAGAGAGAGAGAGAGAGAGGTAGGGGGAACATAATAGAGGGAGCAATTATATGAACCTAGAGAAATGTCCAGAGACCTTCAAGACTCACTGCAAGTAACAATTTGAGCAACAGTGGAAGGGCTACCATAAATGTCCTTCCCTGATTGAGGACTGTCTTATCTACCATCATAGAGCTCTCATCTAGCAGCAGATGGAAACAGAAGCAGACACCCACAAGTAACCACTGAGCAAAACAGGAATGCAGATGCAAAGAGAGAGGACAAGACCAGGCTACAAATACACATTGAGACAGCTGACCTGAAAAAGGAGGAGCTACTGGGCCCCCAGACTGAGAGCTGGGATTCCAGCATTGGACTGACTCAGACTCCCTAAACATGGGTTTCTGCCAGAAGGCCTGGGAAGTCTAAGGGACCTCTGACAGTGGAAACAGGATATGTACCTGGTGCACAAAAGGACTTTGGGTGCACATCCCCAATGGAGGGATACTCCATTAACCTAGAGACAGGAGAGAAGGCCTAGTCCCTACTCCAAATGATGTGACAGATTTAGATGACCCCTTCTGGAAGACATCACCCTACTATTGGAGTGTGGTGGGAGAGGAGTGTGGTGGGGGGCTTGAGAGTATGAAGGGAGGGAAACAGGAAGGGAGGGAGGGAGAACAGGGATTAATATGTAAAATGAAAAGAAATAAATAAAATTGTGCTCAGTGTATTTAAATATTGATGGCAATATGAGACATTGCCCTGACATGCCCAGAGGCAGAGAAAAGACCCTTGAGATACCAATCTTGCAATTGCTTATTTCCTAATAAGAATTATAGTTTAGAGTTTTCATTATAAATCCAAGCACACTTTGACTTTTATAGCCCTTTGTAAGTCCCTTGTCTGTCCTATTCCTTCATACCTTAAAAATGCATGTATTTATGTATGTGTGATGTAAAGTCCATTGTTAAATTTGTTTGTAACCTTAAAGCCTGTTTTTACCCCAGAGATTTGCTGGCCTTTCATGGGTAAACTGAGAATGATGAAGATTCTGAGAGACCCAGTGTGAGAACTCCTGGTTGAGGGCTAACACAGCAACTTCTTTCAGTTCTCATTCTGTAAACAATTGTCTCCTCTGACTACCTCATCTTTATAGAATTGTTTATTTGGTGATGTTTATTTGGTGAGGTACCTGTTCACATAGAAACCAAGCATGTGCTTGAGTGCTGTCATGTGTTCTTGATGGTAAGAAGGCCATAATATACTTTGTGGAGAAAATGCCATGTATAAGATTAACCTTGTTTTGTCTTAACTTACAGTGCTGTTGGTTGGGAATTTACTTTAGGAAATCTACAACTTATGTTAACTAAGATGTGTATTATTTTGTTCGAGACTGTTTCATGTAGTCCATGCTGGCTTGACCCTGATTACAGTCAGCTGTATCTCTTAACTCCTGATCTTTCTGCTGTCACTTCCCAAGTGCTTGGCACAGGTGTTTTCCACCATTGTAGATTTTATTTAGTTTTAAAAAATGATTTATTTGCTGGGCATGGATGGGGCACACATTTAACCCCAGCACTCAGGAGGCAGAGACTGCTGAATCTCTGTGAGTTCGAGGCCAGCCTGGTCTACAAAGCTACATAGAGAAACCCCATCTCATCAAACAAAGCAAAACAAAGAAACAAAACAGTGATTTGCTCTTTTAAAATATGTATAATGTGTGTGCACCTATAAACATAAGTGTTGGTGCATGTAGAAGTCAGAAATGTTGGCTCTCCCTGGAATTGTAGATAACATGCTGTTATGAGTCACTGGATATGGGTCTTGGGAATTGAGCTCAGGTCCTCTGCAAGAGCAGGATGTACTCTTCTTAATGGCTGAACTATTGCTCCTGCCCATGGAGATTTATTTTCATTTCATGTGTATGTGAGAGTTCCTGTATGTATATCTGTGCACAATGCCTGTGCCTGGTGCTCTCTAAGGCCCAAAGAAGGCGTTGGATCCCTTGAAACTGAGTTACAAATGCTTGTTAGCTGCCATGTGGTTACTGATTACTGAACTTGTGTCCTCTGCCAGAGCAGTTTTTGCACTCTTAGGTGTGAGCCATCTCTCCAGTCCC